AATGGTAGATTTAAACAACAGGAATGCCTTGCAGCTTCCTACTTCCTAGTCTGCCAGAGTTCTAGAAAGATAATAACAACTAAAAGTAACAGTTTACTGTGTTGGACCCTGTTTTAAGTACTTTAAACATAATAACATGTAACATTTATGACCATTTTATGAAGTACTGTGATGATGTAAGGGAGCTCTGGTAGCTTAGTGGTAAGGAGTTGTGCTGCTATCCTAAAGGCAGACATTTTGAATCAACTCCCTGTTCTGCAGGAGAGAGACTGCTCTGTCCAGTCTGTAATTACCTGATTCTGTAAATGAGTTACAAGTTGAAAATAGCAAGAAGTGGAGCCATTCTTCAGATCCCTTTGGTTTCACAGAAAAGTTCTTGCTATTTACCACTGCATTATTAGGCCTCCTGTTGGAACCTAATAACCATTCACTAAGGAGCTCACGGGGCCAAGTGGCAAGAAACTGTGATGCAATCCCGAAGGCACATGGCTCAAGGCCAGCAGCTCCTCCATGGGAGAAGGATGGACAGTCTCATCCCGTGTGATTAATTGACTTTGAAAGCCCACCAGAGGCTCAGATATGGGTCAGTTCCAACTATCTAGTACACAAGAACAACAGTGTGAACACAGCAGAGATACTATCCTCCTTCATCTATTTCTTGGTTTCATTAGTTCCTCTTCCAAATCCTTCACGTCGAAGTAAGGAAAAATCTACATAGCCAGAAACTTAAGTACACAGATGCCTTGTACTTTGATAACGCTCTGGGTAGAAAACCTTTTCTCACTCTGAGAGGAGTACCCAAGTTGGTCCCAATTTGCTTTATTACAGTTTTTATTTGGGAGCATCTGCAGAGCTTACTGTAAAAAAAGAGCAAGGGCCGTAGGGGGACAGCCATGTTTGACTTTTACTGACTTCACAATAGGGAACTGTTCCTGTCAATAGCATCAATCACACAAAACCATTCCCTTAAGGTCACACATTCTCCACATTTTGCTGGGTCCAGAATCCAATGTGATAGCCCACAGACCACATAGAACCATATTTGAGAAGTCAGAAGATTATACTCCAGACTAATAACAAAATACTGTTAGGACTGCTCCTGAAGTGGTTACGTAGACCCCTTAGCCTTGAGCCTCATGGCTTTAGATCAGTGTTACAAAGTTCGCACTCCTGCCAGTATTGGCTTACCCTTGCCTGCGCCCTGCCAGTTGTCCAACAAACTTAGGCAAAGGCTCTTAGGTTAGCTTTGGTTCTGTCCTTTGGGGAGCGGGTAGAAATCCCATTTCATATTGATTGTCTGGTTCTGTGCTTCAGCTGTGGGAGGTGCTGTAAGTCTAGCTGTCACAAGAATGTCTCGTCCTGAAAGGCAGCTGCTACATGCCTACTTCTGCTTTGCTGGTGGTGAGAGACAGAGACTGTTGCTTTTGAAATTGCTCAAATTTATTGGTGAAACTGGCCAATCCCCTTTTATGTGTTAATAGTGATACTGGCCAATCCCCCTGTGGAATGGTGAGATAGGCATCCCCTTGTGGATAGGTTAACACTCCCTATTCACATATTCCCACCCTTCAACATGGTTGAGTCAGATTTGATGGCTAGGAAAGTTATATTGAAAGATAAACTCCACGCATAGACTTTCATAATTTAGATTGAAAGGACAAAGGAAGAAAGATTGCACTGGTTGCAAAAACATAGTGAACAACTTTAACACTATTGTAGAAAGAGACAAAAGATTTTTTTATTGAGATTTTAATGAAAGTGTATAGAGAACTTAGATTTCCATTCATTCATTGTTGCACATTTTCCTCCCTGCCCACTCCTCCCCAGTTTGCTTTCCTCTTTGAAAAAAAAAAATTCTTTCTTTGTTGTACAATTCAAACCCCACGCCCACCCCACTTTACTGTACAGCTCTTATTCTGGACTTATGCCAATAAAACCTAATCATATATTCATTTTATGCATTTCTTTCCCTCAGCTGTTTCAATGCCGTGTACATTATTTATCCCCTCTTTTCTTTGTTTTCCCCCAACCCTGATATCAGTCGTGTTTTATAACAGTGGCATTATGCAGTATTTATCCTTTTGTGACTGTGATATTTCACTCAGCATAATGTCTTTGAGGGTCACCCATTTTGTATATTTAGTAAGTTCCTTATTTTTCAATATACCATAGTTTCTCTGTCCATTCATTTTTTGATGGGTGCTTGGGTTGTTTCCATCTCTTTGCTATTGTGAACAATATAGCAATAAACATGAGTGTGCAAAGACTTTCTTTTTTTTCCAAAGTATTTTTTTTCTTTTATTTAAAACACTATCACAACACACCATACAATGAAATGAAGACCTGGAAATCACAATATAGCCTTTTAAAACATCTCTATAGAATCTCAAAACACGAAACATGCTTCAGGAATACAAATATAGTTCGATACCAAAATCTCAAGTATTTGTTGACCACATAAACAAATAGGGAAGCACAAGAGTTGAGGCAGTTTCCTCTGCTTTCAGCAGAGCTGATGTAACTGCTTCAGTTAAAGCTACACTGTGTCTGTCTTAGGAACGATGTCATTGACAGGTTTTACAATTTTACTGAATACGGTGCTTTATTGGGAAATAACCACTGATTATAAGCTTAGAAGGAGTCATCATGTTAGGATAACACATTTGGGGTTTTTGTTGTTTTTGTTTGTTTGTTTTACAACACATACTGGTACAATATGAAAAATAAA